ACCGTCAACGAACCTGCGAATCTTTATTTTTTCTGTCTTAACCATGTGGGGAGCATGCTTAGACAACCTTATGAATTCCATGTAGTACTCTTGCACACTTTTATTCCCTTGCTTTAGTTGTTCGAACTCTGTATCCTTAGCTTCCCTATCCTCTTCCGGGATAAAGTTAGCCATGAAGGCCTCTTCAAATTCTTCCCAAGTAGGCGGTTCATCATCTTCATCTCTTTTCTTTTTCCCACATCTCAAACCAAGCGCCAGCCACATCTCTAAGCTGGTAAGCAGCCAGCTTCACAACTTCATCATCAAATGCCTTCATCGCTCGGAGGGCTTTCTTGACACCCTCCAGCCACAACATTGGATCTTCATCAGCTATAGAACCATGGAACAATGGAGGACTCAACTTCAAAAATTTATTCACTCTTGAGGACTCAGAATTGTTCTGTCTATTTGATTGATGTGGAATCTCATCTCTTCTCTCGTTCTGGTTGGCCATGAAGGCTTTAAACATCTCCATAGCACTGTTGACAGCATTAAACATCGGACCCAACTCCGGAGATATAGCAGTTTGAGCCGGAGCTGCTGTTGGGGGAGGCACTGGATCCTGAGGTACTGGATCATCATGCTCCACCCCTTCTTCATGTTCAACCCGGGGTACTTGAACCCCCTTTGTGGATTTACTCTTCCTTTTCTGAGTTGAAGCCTTCTTAGTTCTATCTTGAGCTACAATAGTAGCAATAGTTTCTTGAGCAGTCCTGAGTGTCGGTGTCAGAGTTGCGAGTACGAGCCATTTCTGCGAGTTTTAGAGAAACGAATACATTAGATAATTTCTTAGAGGTAGGATCTACTGCACGATCTAAAGTATGAAAAAATTAGACTTTTCCTAAATGCTTGTAGCCTCATGTTTATAAGTATGGCGCGCTTCATATCCATAAACAAGACTCTACTAATACGACTTCATAGACCCCTAGGACTCCATAAACCTGAGGCTCTGATACCAAGTTTGTCACGACCCATTTTCTGAACAAGCCGAGACCGGCACCCGATCACTAAATGTGACCGAGTGAACCATCTGCGCCTATCAAATCTATTATAACTTTAAACTTTATATTCAACCAGACAATACTTTAACCAAATACTTTTAATTAATTTAAATATCTAAAATAGACCAACTCCAAAACTTTATTTGTAGTAACCAATGAAATATTGCTAAGTTATTGTCAAAAATATTTGAATCTTAACCTACCGACTGTGTTTATGAAGCCTCTACTGATAAACTGACGCACTGCTCAGGACATGAGATTTTCTGGCCAGTTCTCTAAGTAAGCAAAGAAATAGCTAAATAACTATGACTCAAAGGAGTACTCCACGAACAAAAGCGGAGCTCACCAATAGCACTGAAAGTGAGGGAAGTCCTAACCCGTAGCCTGCTCGCCTGCAAAACCGGTTCCTACGTTGTACCGCAGACCAACGTAGGTTCCCAAAAGAGAATGTCAGTACCATCCATTGTACTCAGTGAGTCTCAACGACATGGGACTAAACATTAATAAAATATACATTACGAGCAAAGATTCTAAATGCATGGAAGACATAAAGCTTCTAAGAAGATTTCAAAAATAATTGCATAATAGCAGTTTATGAATATTTTAAAAGAAATTCTTTTCTTCTTCTTTCTTATAAAAAAAAATACTTCACTTTATACTTCGGGAGTTCCAACTATCCTGACTTAATTCTGTCTCAGTCACCGTGTGATCGGTACGAGTTCGATCCCAACCTGATCGAATAGGCCCAATCCACGAGGTGCCACTCGTTTCATGGTTCTCAACGCTCATGTGCCATACCTTAACTTGGCTAGGCAAATTATCAGCAACGAGACCCTCGGCTCGTGTGCTCCCTACTTTGGCACAAGTAGATTCAGGAAGCCAACGCCTTGGTCAGGACCCTCGGTCTGGACGATGACCCCTTCTTAGAATAGAGGATACTCCCAAAAATCTTTTCTTTCTAAAACTTCTTCTTGTGACTTTTCAATTCTAAATATTTTCTAAAACATCCTATACATACTCATACTGGTATCCTTAATTGTAAAGCATGGCATAAGAATGAAATATATATTCAAAAGTATATCTAAAGATTCTTGCTCCTTCATGAATTTTTAACATGAAAATGGCATATAAGAATAATACAAAAATCTGAAAATTTATGCACATATATCATAATAAATCATCTAAACTTTAGCTAGAACAATTCTAAGTTAATAGGTACTCACTCGCTCCAATTAAGTACATATAAACTCTTTTAAGCAATTCATCAAACACCTTGTATACGTGCTTTTGTGAGTTAAACCACTTTACTTTAGGGTTATATCAACTCACCTCAAAACTCCTTGAGCCAATACGTAGGCCCCAGTCCAATTTATATCTGTCAAACAACCGATTCTACAACAACCAGTGCATTTTAATTAATTTTAAAGTCTCTCACTTAAACATGAAATTTATTGTTGATATAGAAAAAGAAGGGAATTAACTATTCAATTCTTACCTATTACTACTGTAGGGTAATTAATAATAAGACATTTTATATACCTGAGTTCAAGAATTAGTAATTTGAAAAGAACCCTAAAGTTTCCGTTGCCTACGTGAGTAAGCAACCTCTGTTTCGTGGCTCTCTGTTTCGTGAGCGAACAGAACACTAGTTCTGTTTTTCGTCTAAGGCTTTTGCCTTCTGCCTTTTTGCGTGAATGACAGAACCAAGGTTTCTGTTTTTCTCAAGGCTTGAAGCCTTTATTTTCCAACGGCCCATTTTATGGGCTTTAGGCCCTTTTTCCTTTTTTTTCTTTTTTTCTTTTTTTTTAACTTAACTAATAGTTAATGATATCTACTTTTAATAATTAATAATATTAAAATTATTAATATTTCCCTAATTGTATATCTAATTATTTATAAATAGAAAAGTAACTCGAAAATCAATCACAAGAGTTTAAATCCGTAATAGAAGTATAATTTAAGATAAAAAAATTTAAATTCTATATTTAGCGCGTTTTAAAACTTTTATAGATTTGAAAAATTTGAAGAGTGTTACAAGATGCTTTGATTTCCTATAGTTCGCAGTTCTATCTTTGAATTGTATTTTTTATTTTTTATTTTATTTTTGAATAGATGATGCATCACACTAAAGTCAGTTTTGTTGTCACAAAAAAATAATGAGTGTAATACGGTTTAAATTTTTAAATCCACTTTGCACATAGTCACATACAACTCCAATCCTAAAATGGCATAAGATTAAACATAATAAAGAGAAGAACAAAGTATATTAGATGACGTAACCAGACTCAAGTGGATCTGCTTTTGAAGATCCGAAAGCATGAGAACTAAGCAGAAGGAGAGATACATCTAAATAAGATCAAAATAACTCGATTGAACTCACTCTTGAAGATTCCAAAGTACGAGTACCACGCTGATTGAAAGATATATTTTAATAATATCAAATTGCAAAGTCAATCTTTACATGCCTCTCGTAATATAATTATCGAAATTATTTAGAAAGATTAGTCAAATACTAATCGTTTTTCATATACCAATATTCTCAAATGATCTGACCAAAAACAAATTATTATTGGGGGAATTACACATAAATACAACTCGTCCACATACATTGCAACTAAGTGGCCTATGTTTAACTTTGTAAAGCTATAACAAAAAATAATAGGCTAAGATTCAACATCCAACTCCAAATAAGCTCTTGAAATTACTATTTAGTTTTTTATTTTATTTTAAAAATACTCAAGCTTTTAATCGAATCTTCGAATTAGTAATTGTGACTCAAACATTAATTAGTTCAATAAACCAAATCCATTTGGGGGGTAAAAATCAAAATTTTAAGATAATCCATCATTGTTGAACAAACTTAAATAAGTGGGTTTAAATTTCAAATCTAGCTTAATGAGAAATTTGGAGTGGATGTTGTTTAGACTTGTTAGAAATAGTATAAGGACGTTATATACAAAATTTGAAATCATTTAATGAAGATATGGACCAGTCCACCATTGTTGAACAAGCTTAAATAAATGAGTTTAAATTTTGAATATGGTCTTGTGAGAAAGTTAGAGTTGGGTGTTAGTTAGACTTGTTAGAAATAGTAAAAGGAGGTTGTATATAAAATTTGAAGTTATTTAATGGAGATTTGGTCTGGTTTTGAACAAGAATTATAATTGAAAATCGTGAAAGAAGTTCGGCTACATATGCTTGTATAAAAGAGCATAATAGTATATAAGAGGTGTTTATACACTCATATATACTATTATTTAATATTATACACTATTATACAAAAATTGACTTCGTCTTGCCCTTGATTTTCTTCTGAAATTTAACTCAAATATAGCTCAAATCTACTGCAGATCACTTCACATTTAAGTTTTGAACTCTTCTTAATATTTTCAATCAATTGGAGAAACACCCAATCCAAGGAATTAACAAACTATAAAACCCAGATCTAAAATTCAACTCAAAGATTAAAAAGGAGAAATTTAAAAACTAATTCGTGAAGAGCCTTAAAAGCCTTGAGGCTCTAGAACAAAAATATTCTTAGTTTTTGCAGTAAGTTTTTCTTATCGTAACATCAAACGAAATGGGTAAATTGACCAACTATATTTAATCTATAGCTTTTAGGAGAAGTGGTTGTAAGAAAATAAATTTTGAAATAGGCTGTTAGCTGATGCTTTTGCTAGTGCTTTCAAAATATGTACAATAATAGATTAGATTGGGTAAAATTAAAAAATATGAGCTAATTTTTATTATAATATGAAGTCACGTGTATTTTCTTGTAATTCTTACATTATTTTCATGCGAAAATGTATCTAAAACATCATTTGAAGAAAAGTCATTTGCAAGTAAACAGATTTTTGAAGTCTAACCAAACATGCCTTTATTATAAGTTGGATAGCGGTGAGATAAATTATTCCATGGAATAAAAATGAGCCAGACATAACAGATTAACGATTTATACTCGAATTCGATACCTACATATAAATTAGTATATCCTGTTTCTCAAAAAATTAAAAAAAAAAATCAAGACATACAAGGCGTGGCGACCAAACCCGGTTGGAGCATGTGAACCGGACAGAAGGAGAGATATAGGGGGAGAAAGAACAATTCCGCGCCAAGGAGGAGCAAAAATAAGAGAAAATTACCTAAAACCAGAAGCTGAACCCTAAAATTGATGGCTGAAAAATTGGCCCCCGAAAAACGTCACAGCTTCGTCCACAACGGTATTTTTAACTCCTTCTCCTTTTCCTCATCTACTACTTGTGTTTTTGTGCATATGGAAATGTTAACATCGATTGTGAAATTGACAATTGAATTTCAGGCCAGAAGGTGTTCGAGTGGGACCAAACGCTTGAAGAATTGAACATTTACATAACTCTTCCTGAAAATGTTCCTAAGAAGTTATTTTACTGCAAGGTTGAATCCAAGCATTTGGAAGTTGGGATCAAAGGCAACCCTCCTTATCTTAATGTCAGTTATTTAATTTCGTACTTCTTTAAACTTAATATTCTATCACCGATGGTGTTAACTTTGTTTAATATTTTTTTTGTCTGCAGCACGATCTTATGAACCCAGTTAAGACCGATTGTTCCTTCTGGACTCTAGGTAATTAATTTTTTTCCTTCATAGAGATAATATTTCTTTAATTCCGGTAACGAATTTCTATTGGAACGGGCTTAAATGGAGTGGAATGGATATAGAGGATTTATATAGCTGCCCATACGAGTTTGAGATTGTGGAATAGTTGTTGCTGCTTCCGATGATTTTCTCGTGGTACAGTGGAATTGGGTCTCTCTTTTAGAAAGCACCGTGAATCAACTCATGTAGTTTCGAGCATTTAAAATACTAGTGAGCAAATGTCTCTGAAATTCTTAGGAAAGTTGAAGGGTGGTGAAGTTTATTTGTTCAGAACATGGAGTCTAGTCAGGTCAGCGTAATTAATGGATATAAGAGTTAACTGTTGTGCAAAGTTGAAGTTGGGTATATTTGTGCAAAGTTTTACTCAATTGATGAAACTTATGAGGTCTAGATATGCTTAGTTTGGACTGATCGTTGATAATTGCTTAGTTAATATGCGGATAAAGTCGTATCTAACAGAGATGGTAAATTGCAGAGGATGATACAATGCATGTAACTTTGCAGAAGAGGGATATAGGTCAGACATGGTCTTCTCCCATAATGGGTGAAGGGCAATTGGATCCTTTAGCCAGTGATCTTGAACAGAAGAGGCTCATGCTCCAAAGGTTCCAAGAAGAGGTGATATGATTAAGCTCTACTAAAATCTATGTTGCAGTCCTTGCCTTTTCCTATCTTCTAGGAGTGCCCCGTTGATTGTTTTTATTGAAGTGTTCCCCGCAATTGCTACTTCCAAGCTGTTGGTTCGTGTTGATTCATTGAACTGCAAATTATTACTTGCTTGTTTGCTGTTCCTTCATTGGTTGATTTGTTGACTTGCCCCTTCTTGGTGGACTAGTCATACTCATGAATTCCTTGACCCTTTCAAATTATTGTTATTTCATTAGTTGATTGTGTCGTCATTGACATTCTTCTTGGACTTGAGATATCTGATGCTTTTCCCTGAAGTGGCTTCGTTGTAGGTTGGGTTCATAACTTCATTCGGTTCATCTTCTGTTGTAAGATTGCTATAGTATATAGGAGCTTTAAAATTCCTGAAAGCAATGAAATTTAATACTAACAGGGAAGAGTTTCTTACATAGCAGTATTTAATATTTTCATGATGTATATATCAGGATATTACTGAACTTTAAAGGGAAAAAAAAGAAGAGGAAAGTGCAGAAATTAGACAAGGGTAATTTATAGCTTGCGGAAATTGATCCTGCTAAGCTCGGAGATAATCTGATGTATAGTTGCAGGCCATTTTCTGGAAAACTCTCTTCTTGTCATTAACTGCCTTAACGAAGACTGCTTCAATTGTCAATAATTTTGTATGCATGTCTGTCACTTTCTGCAGCAGTTCTTATTTCGCTTAATTCCTTTCTTCAACGCTCTGTGGCTCATTTATCCTTTTTGCATAAATGCGGCTTATATAGAAAGAAGCAGATAACAGTGCTGTAAACTTTGGTTCCAAATTAAAAGTACGATTATATTATTGTTCCCTCTTTACCTTTACTTAAAATAAGCATAGTATTAGTGTTCCCTCTTTAGAACAGCAACACTTTTGGAGCATCGGAGAAGCTGTGTCCAAGCTCCAAGGTTTCAAAGTTTTTTACAGAAATTTAGACAAGCTGCCTTGAAAAACACTAATATCTTCCGTGTTTTGCTAAAGATGTGATATTTGAACTCTCTGCTAGGGTGGGTCTTCTGGAAGTAGAGGTTAATGGACAAGACACATGGATCAAGATAGAATTATATGAGTGTAACTTTGTAAATGAGTCCGTATTGAGACTTGTGATAGTTTAATGTAGCCAAATCAATTAGATAATTAAAAGGTTGGAAGAGCTCTACTATTGAATGTCTGTCACACAAGAGTCAGTAGTTAGTTGGGCTGCTAGGTTTTTAAAGCTTCAATGAGTGTAAGCAGCCCTTAGATGATAATATGACTGAAATCAAGATGGTGTGCTTCTTTATGTACTGAGTTAAGTTAAAGGCAGGACTCACTAAGCATTTGAGTTCATGAATCCTGACGTGAGTGTTAAGCAGATCTAGATACTAGCTCAATGATTGCAGGCGATTGACTAATTGTTTCAGTCACTGCTGATATTTTTCTTAGGAGTTATCTCCTAGTCATTAACAGTCAAACGACGGGGTATGACAGAAATTTTGAACTTTGGAAGGCTTTTAGGAGTTCCCACCCAATGAGATTTTTTAAATGCATGAATACACTCATGAAGCTTCTGAAAGATCATCACCGGGGTGAACCTTGTTTTACCTGTAGTTGAAACTTCATACCGTAGTCCTTAATCCAGATTCAATTGGCTTCACTTCAGGGACTTGGAAGTTTTGAATTGCAAAACTGGATTGCTTTCGTAAACTGCTTGATTAGGATTTAGCTTTAATCAAACATTAAGATTTAATAATTGGATTTTAGTTGTATACTTGTGGCTGAAATTTAGGAATTTGACATTTCTTTTTAAAAAAAAAGAGGTTTCTTTTCATTTTTTTTGTTTAACCATTTTGTTGTTTGCGCCCATATGCAGTTTTAGGTGGAGCTATTTTTGTCTTTTCGGGAAAATGAATGTTTATCGCGACATCATTATCATTTTTTGGGTGTTTGGATTATATGTAGATAATTGATGAGTCAGACTCATGATTAAATATTGGAAATTGCTTAGGGTTTACTTCTTATCATTCTCTCTAACAGTGTGGTTTTGTTTCCTTTAATTATTTAAGACGTGTTTTCTTGTGCGCATACGCTTGTATGAAAAGCTATGTTGCTCGGACTCTTCAAAAATGTTGTTGGGTGTGTGTCGGATCCTCCAAATTTAGTGCATTTTTGAAGGATTCGACATGGGTGCGGCAACACTTTTGGAGAGTCCGAGCAACATAGATGAAAAGAATTAATGTATATATCCATGTACATATATTGCTTCAAACCTCTTGAGCAGTGCATCTACTAATGCTTTTTTGGGGGTCAATTTCTGTAGTATTTTTTTTTTTTCTGTAGTATTATTGATTGGATCACAATAGGTATGTCCATATTAACTTCCTCAGTTACTAAATGTATTTGTATTTCGTCAAAGCGGATGCTTGTGATACTTCCAGACCTATTGCTTGAACTCTGGAACAGGGTACCTACACGTATCTGTCTTGAGCTGTTATGCATCTTCTACATATTGTTTACAAATTGGGCGCAGAAAGGATTTTAAAATATTTTGACTAGTTTCTAATGGTAACAAAGGGTTTTTTCTCTGCAGAATCCAGGTTTTGACTTCTCACAGGCACAATTCTCCGGTAATTGTCCTGATCCAAGGACCTTCATGGGGGGAATCCGCTCAACTTGATATTTACTATCTTCAAAGTTTCTTTATAACTATGGACCTTCCTAATATGCATTGTCATGGCAAGAAGCAAGGTGATAAGCTGTCCACTGGAATTCCTAATTGTATTTTGAAGCATCAGTTCTTGGTAACCATCTTGTTTACTTGATAACATTGATTGGTCACTTCTGTGTTGAATGAATATAATTGCATATGAACATCTCTAGACTACGATATTGTCTTTCTTTTAGTGGTGATTGTCGTGATCTCTAATTTTTTTTTTTGCATATTTCAAGACGTAAGTTCCGGATGATTAAGAAATCAATGAGCTCCTAGCAGCCTATGAAATAGGCTGAAGCTTTAGTACCAGCAAGACCTGTACAGTACTGTCTATAGTCCCTTTTTTTCATCTGATTCGACTTAGTCTACCCTTCAAAAAGACTGAAAGAATAAAGTTTAAATGCATTATTCTTTACATATTCGATTTCGGTAGAATAATAGTAGTTGACAATATGTGAAGAATATAAGGATATTGTATCAAACTCAAAGTAACATAACAACATTATTGTCAATATAGTAGGGGCCTGCACTTAGTGTATGCACTGAAGTACTAAATTCTTAATGTGTCATTTTTAAAAGATGTCAATCATATTAACAAGAAAAGAATATTGTATACGGGTGATATCGAGCTCATGGTGCATCCTAGCCTCCGACAAAATAAGTCAGGCTCGAGACATGGCAACAAGGGACCGAAATCGAGCTAAAGTTCCATCGGGCCAGAACTCGGGGGCATGACGCCTGCCTTCGAGAATATCGAGGTCATGGTCCCGGAATCGGTCCTAGCCTCGAACGACTTCGAAGAACATTGTCAGACAATGCAGCATAGCCAACATAATGCCGAAATATCCGTGACTGGCCGAATATTACGGCGGGGATCTCGACACGTATCGATAAGGAACCGACAATCAATTAATCAGAGGATTTTTTACCTTTTATAGAGTTGTACCTAAAATAAGACTCCCCTACTATATAAAGGGGGTTTGATAATTCATAAAACACATTGTAACACGCACTCAAAAGCAATAAATTATTTTTTTTTTCCGTCTTTAAGCTCTTGTTCTTTTTTTATCCATACCGGTCTTGGTGAGCTCGGTTCGAGAGCGGCTATTTCACTAAGGTTGAAACTTTCCAACTCGTATGATTTGAATTTATTTCGTCTTCGTTTATTCAATAATAACTTAATTTATTGCTTTGTATCAAGTTGATCCGCGTATCCTCAAAACCACTTATAAATTTAATTGTTATCAGATTTTGAGGGTAAACAAATATATTTAAAAATAAATGAAACAAGAGGCAAACTTACGTGTGTCTGGTGTCTAGATCAAGTTATGTTATTTTTCTTTGTTAAAAGATAAGTTAAGGTGAAAATGTGCATCAATATATGATTTTGCGACAGTAATGTGCAATAGTGTTTCTTTATTGTAACAGATTTTATAAAGTACTGTATTTACAAACAAAACCATTTCCTTTTTTCGTGACTAGCAGTTGGGTTTAGGAACTCAAAGCAGTGCAGTAACACGTACTTTAACCACATCAATTATGCTATCATCGGTCAAAAGTTAAAAGATCATCAAATAAAAATGTTAAAATAGTAAAAAATGAAAGTTAATAAATCGACTGTTTCCACAGCCGTCAAAATATTTAAATGGAATTTTAGTAGCTAAGTTGCGTGGCTATCTGAACTTTTATCTTGTAATCCTATTTCCCATTTTCCCTAGCCCCAATTAAAAAAAAAAGAAAAGAAGAGAAAAATCGACTTTAAATTTGGCATACAAAGTTTATGAGCGATTAGGCAAAGTAGGATCATAGGAGACGGGTTGAAAACTTGAAATAGATGATTTGGTCAAATATGACGGTGGTCCCCAAGTCGAAGATAATTTACTAATGAGATAATTAAGATGGCGCAGAATTAACACCTTTCCAATAAGGTCCGCACTTCGATGCGTTAATGTCCATCCTTCCCCCTAAAAGCATAGATTCCATCTCACAACTTTGCTTAATTTGCAATCTATTTTGCAATTTGCATGTAATGTAAAACTCTTCTGCAATCTCTTCTTTTTTCTGTCGTCCTCGCCCTTTTATTAATTGGCAAAGAAACACATGTAAAGCATACAGAATTGCTTATGCACGTAGTTTGTTTTTAGAGAAGCTGCTGCAGCAACATTTGTCTTTTCCGCGTATCCTTCCCATCTTCGAAAATTGCTTTTGTCTTCATTTCTTCAACACCCTTTTCTCTTTTTCCTCCTGGCCTTTTCACATGTTCTCGATTGACGCGCAGAAACAGCTACGGTTACAAAAAGAAAAATGTTGCTGTAAATCTTAACCCTGCTGAGCAAAAATCATGCAAAAACTTTCTCTATTAGATTTAGTTCAAATCCTACCAATACATAGATATTCCAAATTTATCAGAGCTTAAACGAGTGCGGCGAGAAGATTTTCGTTTAAATTGAGATTAATTATGGTGAAGGAAACGATAGATTCATCAATACCCACCACCCGCCGGTGCCTAATTGTGGGGAATTACTGCCACGACGTTCTGATTAAAGACGACGTAGTAATAGCGGAGTCCCTCGGCGGCGCAGCTTCGTTCGTCTCCGCTGTCCTCGACAGCTTGTCCATTTCCTCCGACTACATTTCCAAAGTGGGCACCGATTTCGTGTACACCGTAAACCACCGGCCGATTACGTCAGCTTCTTCCAAAACCACCGTTTTTCACGCCTATTTCTCAACGGAAACCAAACGCCAAGATCGGATCCTAAAACGGGTCAGTGCATGCGATCCGGTAACTCCCTCGGATCTTCCAAACTCAAATTTCGATTTTGGTTTGGCCGTAGGTGTTGGTGGGGAGATTCTGCCCGAAACCCTAGAACGAATGATTGATTTATGTAAAGTTGTGTTTGTAGATATTCAAGCTCTGATTCGGGTATTTGACCCGGTTTATGGAACAGTAAATCTTGTACATTTGGATCAAACCGGGTTTGGGCCTTTATTGAAAAAAATCGGGTTTTTGAAGGCCTCTGCGGAGGAGGCACAGTATGTGGATGTTGAGGAAGCAAGGAAATGGTGTTGTGTGGTGGTGACTAATGGGAAAGAGGGGTGTACAGTGTATACTAAAGATGAAGAATTGCCCGTTGCGCCTTTTTCAGCTTTTCAAGTTGATCCAACAGGAGCTGGGGATAGTTTTCTTGGAGGTTTAGTTGCAGGGCTTGTCCATGGATTGAATGTACCGGATGCTGCATTGCTGGGGAACTTTTTCGGATCACTGACTGTAGGGCAAATTGGGCTTCCCATGTTCGATTCGCGGTTGGTACAGGTTGTTTAGATACTGCTGCTGATTATGCATGTCATTTGTTGTTTGACATTGTTTATTTGCTGAACTATTGGTTTTGTACTGCTTAAATGCTTTTATGAGCTTGTTGATAATTGAAATTGGCACCTTCTTACTGTAGATCAATGGAATTAGTTGAACTATGTTTAATTCAAATTAGAATATTAAATGCATGCATAGTTTTGTTTCCTAACTAAATTTGAGTTGTAAGTAATAGGTATCAAAACCAATATGATAGTAGGAAGAAAATACTTATGAAGAGATGAGCTTTGTTTTATAGAAAGGACGCCTAAAGATTTGGCGAAAAACACACAGATTACTCAAGCGATGACATAACTGCATAGACAAATGAAAGTTCAGACTTATAATTGTCACTAAATTTGCAAACAGTTTGTTACGGAATATCATGCTCTAAGTTCATAGTTGTTTGTGTTGAAGATGTTGCCTAATTAGTTTGTAGTCTGAGTGAGGAAGAATGAGAATGGTTTATAACTGGACTGTCATATTGTGGTTAATCTAGTTTTCTCCCGGTGCCTGAATATACAATGTGAAATTTGAAAATAGTTGAAGGGATGATTTTAATTAGAATGACGTTTAACACGAAAGTCTGCTGTTGTATGACGGCTATGTAGCACTGACAGCAAAACTACATCGGCTACCATCCATTTGGATATACCTTTCAATTCTCTGATTTTGTCTTTACTTATGGAAAAATGAGGAAGAGCCAAAATGCACATAAGACATCTCTTTTGGGATGAAATCAATTTTCTTCTGCATGTGTCAATAGAATGTTGCGATTTGTTGTTGATGCTTTTTCCATCTTATACTTTTCTTCATTACACTATTAAGATATTTGGAATTACATTTAGTTTTTGCTTTTTCTTTAAACAAGAAAAGAAAGTTTCAATTATTTGGTGATATCTATTTCCTTCGCCTTCCATTGCTTTTTAGAAAAGTTTAAGATATTTCTATTCTTTGATAGTATGCTTAATGCATCTCCAGTATAATATCTCTGGTTAGATAGTGAGATAAAACCTTACATGTGAAGGATCGCCTTATCCCCTTGGTCATGATTTTACCAAGATATATATCTTTGATGTGGACAAGAGTTGATGGAAATTTGAACTTTTCTTTACATTAAGGTTGATACAGATAGAGTGGGGAAGAGAATGCAGTATTTGAGGTGGGTATTAGCAGAATCCTTATGTGCTTAGTCATTCTATAGATCCCAATTCCTTAGACATCTTGTTGCACTCCCCTTATAGTTCCTTAGTTCATAGAAACTGCAGAAAGCTAGTAAGTCGATTTGGAAATGAACTTCTGAAGTGAATTTTTTGCAGTCTCCAATCACAAATAATAGAAGAGGGATCATGACCATCCGTTATGTGAATAGCAGTCTATCAGTGAACTAAATATGTATGCTGCAGTATACTAGTGATTAGGTATCTTGTTAGTTTATCTAGTTTCCACTTATAATATAGAAATGTGGAGGTATTTTTCTTGTTCCCATCAGACGTAGATACTTTTTTCTGTATTGAGCTATTGTAGTAGGAATTTTGTCTATGGAACCTAGTAACCAACAATCGCTGCTTTAATGTTGTCATTGGATTTACCGCAGATGAATAGAAGCATCAGGTTATTTAAAGTCCCTATCAACAATCATATCTTAGACAAGTTTTGATATGACAGTTCTTTCTAGAGTAAGGAATGAGTGACAGGCACCGGGATGGCTTTCTTATTGAACCTTCTCTTCTTGGCCTGCTTCCTCATCCTATATCTTTTTCCTCTCTTAGGGTGATAGAGATATGCTTTTCACTCTTTTGGGCTATATCGAATTAGAGCGCCATTAGTCGTGAATTGTG